GTGGGCCCTATAATTTAGGAGGTTCTGCCACAATCCTCGAGATTGATGAAGTCACCACATGTGCCTCCTTGTTGATGGGAACGTCGCCTACCACTGACTTTCATGGGGAGTCGAAACGAGGACCTTATGTGCTACTGAGACTCTTGGGCTACATGGCGCTTTGCCAATTAAATTGTAAAGCACCTTAAAAATTTTGCCATCGTAAATGAATCACGCTACTAAAATCATGCCGTACACATTTTAAAAGAGAAATCTTGGAACCAATATTCAAATATTCCTAAGTATTTATATGAACTAAGGTTCCATAATAAACAGATTCAACTACAACTTAATGTGCACACTGTTTGTCTAAATAATAACGATGAAAATATAGCCTTTCCTTCTTAGAAGCACTCTGAGAAATATCCAATCACAATAATAAAAATTAAGATGAAGGGAGTACGCCCACATGAGGGAGTGTGGAAGGAAATGCGAGAAGGATGACATGTGGGCTCACATGTCAGGTGCATAGTCAGCAATAACACATGTAGTTTATCACAAACAATAGTAATTTAGACTTTCGTGTACATGGCGCCGCATTGCAGGTTTAGGTATTTCGTGTGACCCGTTTAGCAATTTTAAGATCTAAATACACAATTTAGGAAGTTTGAGACTTAGATGGAACTGCGTACAAGTTTAGGCACTAGACCAAATATGTTAGATTTACGTGAGCATTGAGTTAGCATGCCATGTCAGTGTATAGAGTGGGTCAAACCCGTTTAGACTAGAGCCTGGAAAAAGTTTAGGACCTAAAAAATTTAAAAAGTGAAAGTTTATGAGTGACTACCAATATATTTTACTTGAAAAAGAATGTAGGATTTTTTTTGAAACCCCATTGGAATTGTACTTCTTCCTGTGAACTTTCTGCAAAAGTACTATAAAATTTCTTTAGGTATTTCTCTAAGCAATGATAAACATTTAATCAATTGGATCTCACTCCAAGTCACTCGTCTAAGAGAGTATGGCTAATAATAAAGCTAACTGCTAGCTACATGCCATTGTCATATAATCTACATTACCTAAAGCCCACTCATGTAATAGTTGGCTATAGATATATATGCCCCATCACTGAGTATGGCTAATAATAAAGCTAACTGCTAGCTACATGTCATTGTCATACAATCTACAGTTTTACCTAAAGCCCACTCATGTAATAGTTGGCTATAGATATATATACCACATCACTAATACCTGGTCCACCTTATCCTCTCACAAAATGTATTAGAGTCCGTGCATCAACTAGTTGTAAGTTTAGAGTCTAAGTGGGAGCTATATGGACGTTTGGATGAGTGCCCATTCCAATGCCCCGATCAATCTCTCCTCGTCACAAGCCCTCAATATGCTTGTTTATATAAACCCATCCCAATAAAATATGAATTGGAGCGAAAAAGTGAACTAATCTCTCCCTCAATCTGTTTCAGTACCTATGGAGTAGGAGATTATTTTCTTTCCAAATAGGGTCTAATCTAATCCGAGGTGCCACCACCATGGTAAGCTAAGCTCACGGAGTTTAGATATGGAGTTACACAGAGACAAATGAGAATGCGAAAAAAAAATACTAGAAAAGCATACAAAGTGTAGGCATGCATTCTTTAAAAAAAAAAGGGCATACAAAGTGTAGACATGCAAATCATCAGGAGGTAACAGTCACGGGGACACTGATCGATCGGTGCAGTAGTTGACTAGTTATACGTACCCGGCCCCATGTCCGATTCGCCGACCACGCACCATTTCTCGTAATCGCCAAGATGAAGCTATCTACTACTATATGAACGAACCATATACTACCGTGAAAAGAAAGAGCCCACTTGGCACGAAGCGACGCTGCAAAGGGGGCAGAGTGCATCCGGCTCCAGCAATACCAGCGTCGTCGTTACCGTCGACATGCCCATGGGTATGCATGCTACTACCGATGGAGAGGCAGGCTGGCTACTGGCTGCTCCCGCTTGCAGGAGCATCTCTGCGCGTGCACGCGATCGGCGGATCGCTGGCTTGCCCGTGACTCGGCACGCTTTGCGCCGGATGGAGCCAAAGCGCGCGACCACATGCACGTCGTCACGGGCCGCGCTACCCCGCTCCTATATAAGGCCGGCCGCCGCCACCGCCGTCCCCGGCCCGTCCGACTCCGATCGACGACGTGACCACCGACCGCCACCACACAAACAAGCTAACTAAGTGTTCGAGTGGATCGATCGATGGCCGGGAGGAGGAAGGCGAGCAACGCGGCGGCGCTGGTGGCCGTGCTGATCGTGGCCGTGGCGGCCGCGGCCGGCGCCATCAAGCTCTGCGGCGTGGACGAGTCCGCGGTGGACGTGTGCAAGCCCTACTGCAAGGTGGGCAGCACGAAGGCCGCGCCGGACCCGCTCTGCTGCGACAAGGTGAAGACCGCCCGGTGGAGCTGCCTCTGCAACTACCGGAGCGTTCTCTCCAGCGACATCGACGCCGCGCGCGTCATGGACCTCGCCAGCAAGTGCAAGTGCGACTACCCGCCGGCGTCCTGCGACGCCAACTAGAACTAGCTGCTGGGTCTATATGCCACGCCGTGTTTCGTGTTATATGTTGGGCCATCCATCGTGTCTTGTTGCTGCTTTATCATTTCAGTGCTACGGGTAACAAACTCTGACGGGCTGCACTGCAGGCTGCATGCTTGTGCAGTTGTGATCGTCAGGCTATCCGTCAGCCGCATGCCACGTTGTGTACCCTCTCGTACGTGTTTCTTTCTTTGTTGCGTCCTTGCTGTGCGTCCGCACGTCGTCGCAAACATCACCCTTTAGCTGATGCTGAAATTTAGTTTATACTAATGTTTATACTAAAATATTGTAAGAAAAAAAATATTTATCCATAACTAAAAATAGTTTTAAATAAGCTCATGCGAACAGGCCGAAACTTTTCAGATTCCTCAGGTCGTCCGACCGATGAAGTCTCCCTTTGTTCTGTGCACTAACAGTTCGACGATCCAGGCGAGATAGATCCTTACTGTCACGAGTGTCAAACCCATGCCAGATTGCCAGCAGACCTAGCTTGACCCACAAGATTTTCACAGAAAGTTCGTGGCGCAAAACTGTAAACGCCAAGAAAGCTGCATGTTTGCTTTGAATAGTCTACCTTTTGTTACCAGCCGTTTGCAGCATGCAGAATCAAACAAATAGTAGGAAACAGATTGCTCTACATGCATGGTAAAGTTCTCACATGCATGGCTTTCTTTTTACCCGCCAGCCGAATGCTTCCATTGCAGCCAAATACCCCTGCTGTGTACCCAGCAGCGCATGCGTCGTCATACCGGTGTCTTGTAGCTTGGTTACCACTCAAATTAGTTTGACCACATTTAGACTCAGGCCTTGTTTAGATCCAGGCCATAAAGTTTTGGGGTGTCACATCGAATGTTATATAAGGGTGTCGCATGAGGTGTTCGGATACTAATAAAAAAACAAATTACAGAATCCGTCAGTAAACCACGAGACGAATTTATTAAGCCTAATTAATCCGTCATTAGCACATGTGTTAATATAGCACTTTATTGTCAAATTATGGACTAATTAGGCTTAAATAATTCGCCTCGCAAATTAGTCGCAAACTGTGCAATTAGTTATTTTTAGTCTATATTTAATACTCCGTGCATGTGTCAAATATTCGATGTGACTGGACCTAAAGTTTTAGTTTTAGGTGGGAACTAAGTAAGGGCTCAGCTACGGCCTCGTGAGTCGTGACCAGTGGTACCATAGCAGCTCTGAGACTGAAAGCAACAGCAGCTGAAGCCTGCTCACATCCGCCCCCAACATGGCAACATCCTCCACCAAAGGGGGTGTCGAAGAACCATGTAAAAGTTACAACAAAAATACGTCGCAGATCCAGAGCTTCCAACCATTACTGTCGACGAGATATCACCAGGCTGTGGATGGTACGGCTCTGAATATGAAATCCAGATGCGTGCCGCCCATGCCTCGAGATCACATGAGATGGACAGCGGTGGACGGAACACCACCTTGCCCTGGCAGTGATGCAGGAGGACTGAGCAACCCTTGCCTTGCAGAGATGCAGGATCCAGAGCTTGCGAACCCCTCCTCTGGCATTGCGGGGTCACCATCACAGGCTCAGAATAGTTTCTCCATTTGTTGCCTTTCTTTAAGCATCTTCTCTGACTAAGGCCCCGTTTGGCTAGGCTCCCACGTGCGCCGACACCTACACTGTAGCGGCACTGTAGCTAAAGCCGGAGGAGAAAAAAAACGAGCTTCTCCAACTCCGATGGTGTCAGTGAGAGAAAAAACGAAGAGAGAGAAAACCAGCTCGGTGAACAGTGTCCACACAGGGAGCCGGAGACGTCCAGAGCTGCACCAAAGGGGCCTAAATAAGAAAAGATGTTTGTCTGCTTCAATTTTGTTCACTTTGTTCACGTGAAACGGGCACCGATGCCTCTGCATCCTCGATGCAAGTTTTTTCCAGCTAAGGATCCGTAGCCACAGTGCTTGTTTCAGCCAGAGCTTATCAATCATGATACAGTATTTTTCTCTCACAATAAACCAGCACCGACCGGACTTTCGATTCTTCCCTACACTGTGGGTGCTCTAGCTGCGGGGCTCAAACATCTATTCCGCTGCTCCGCTCTCCATTTTTCTATTTGCTTCTATTGGTCACAAGATCCGTCCGTCCGAACTTGTTAGCTTAAGCTTGGTTGATTTCTCTTTCACCGTCTTAGATTGAAGATATGGACTTAATTTCCATTCATTTTTTTGTCCGGGAAGTGCCATGTCAACCTTACCTTCCCTGCTGTGCGATACTGAAACACCCAAACTTTGTACTCGGACCTTGTGCCCACTAACTTCGATTGTTCTGTAAAAAAAGTATTGCTACGTTCAAAATGGGATACAGAAAAAAAATGCAGGAAGGAACATGTATAGCAGACAAAATGATGCTATGGTAATAATTGAAGCAAGGCCCCCGTAGCTAAGTTTCAGACGCGTCTGTTATCCCGTGCGTTCGTGCATACCAGAGGGTGGAGCCACCTTGTGGTCTCCGCAGTCCCCACTGCTCCCTCTCCAAACCAGTGTCTCTGCATGGTATGGCACAGGGATATGCATATGCAAGGCATGAGCAGAGTCACAGTGGCCACACACAAGCCATTGCACCTGTCTCCAGTTTATATAACCCCTAACACTCGCTTCCTTATGCTGTTTCTCTGAATCCAAATAAAGCACCATCCTCCCATTTTCTATCCATTGCTCATTTGAAGAAGAGGGATGGCTAATGGTTGCCCCACAACTACCACAAGCTCCATGCTCCTCTTCTTCCTTCTCTCTTGCCTGCTCATCCGCCATGCTCTCTGCAGCCACCACAATGGCAGAACATCAGGTTCTTCCCCTCACACAAACACCTGAGTTGTTTATTTCCTCTTTCCTTGCATGAGACGAGTCCCTTCTTTCTTTTAGTATTTGCTTTTTGTTCACTTTCACTGCTTATTCGCTCATATGAATCTAATTTGCGGTGAAGGAGCTGATTATGTGGTGCAATATCCCCACCAGGAATTGCCTGCTAAACATATAGTTTTGCAGGAGGCTGTCAAGGTACCTATCTTAGTCAAGTAGCATTCTTCAGGTTTCTAAGTTTCAAAGGCTTGCAGTACTTTTTTATTCTTTTACACATGAATTATGCAAGGAAAAGTTTGGAAGGAGAAAATGCCAACCACTTGCCTCCAACATTACTCCTGTAGTATTACTCCTGTAGAATAGAAACAAGAAATGAAACTAATGTTTTTTTTAAAAAAAAAAAGTGGAATAAAACCTTGTACTAGGTTAACACACAAAGTGCTTAATGACCTTAAAGCAAGTATAGTTAGCGTGATATTTTCACATGCCTTGATATTAGGGTCTAAACAAGGACATACTGTCGAAGTATGCAAGGAGAATGTTGATCGGCTCAATTGCTCCAATATGCACATACAACGAGTGCAGGGGGTGTCGATTCAAGTGTACTGCTGAGCAAGTCCCAGTGGATGCAAATGACCCCATGAACAGTGCTTACCACTACAAGTGTGTTTGCCACAGGTGATCTTCAATGAGTAGGAGCTTCTATGTTATGGTATGTCGTGGAGAATAGTAGTATTTTCCCCTATTTTTGGCTCTCCCTCTTCTTTTCCTTCTATTCTTTGTTTTCTCTGTTGAAAAGGCTTCTTTTTTTCGTTTCTATTTTACAAGAGGCTAGCTAGTAGAGGACTGGAGTATGGAGGGGCATTTTGTACTTTAAAATGCTTAGTTCAGGTTATGGACTAGTAGTTTTGTTAGTAAATGGTTATCAATTTTGACATCTGAAGTAAGTGTGCATAAATAGTATAGTTGACCTATGGCTACAATGCATCATCGAGTCTATGAAGTATGAACAGACCTCAAAATATATCCGCCCTGTTCGCTTGAGCTTATTCAGAACTACTGTTCAGCCATTGAACAGTGTTTTCCTCTCACAACATTTCAGCATAAGCCAAATTTCAGCATCATCTGCTTGAACAGCCTAGGAGATCTAGGCTGCATCTTCTGAGCACCATCAGTTCTTATGGTCAATTGGTCATTCATGTCATTCCTCTTTTTCATGGTAAAAAAGTTAACAATCACCTGTACAAATGGGAAGTATGTTAAACTAGACAAACCCACATAAGAAAAGGCGACGACAATGAAGCTTATGCAGAGGGAATGCTATTGTGGCATTGTGCAGCCAGCAATTCATCAAACTAGACTTCATTTTAAAGTTTAATTAACTAAGAAGTTGTCAGAGAAAAGTTGTCAGACTGTCACCTGCATCTCTGACTAAAGTGAATATGCATAGTTTCATTCATGATGTACATCATTATCAGCAACAAACTTCTGATGCCAAAAGAGCACACAGTTTGCAAGTATAAGCCACAAGTCTGTATTTATAACTTGTGTGAGGATTCGAGTCAACTGGAAACACTACTAACAAGAGCTCTGTGCATGAGTTGCCACTGCAGGGCCACAACTGCAACTATGTAGATTGTGAGCAGGATATCAGAGTTCCTTGCAGAAGAATGTATTGCTTAAAGGCCACTGATGTTGGTAACCAAAGTTTGTTCTTGGTTAATGCAAAGTATGCAATTAAAGTCACTTAAACCTTTTGCGGTTCACCCAATACCAAGACATGTTTCAGAATATGTTAACGTACATACAAGAAGGTCATTGAAGCCTTGAGATAGAGAGGCCCAACAAATAATCAGCTATTCATCAAAGGCATCCAGAGAGGACTATGTTTGGACTTGGAGAATGTATTGATTTAAAAAGTCGCTTACCCATATCTTTCAGCACTAAGTACACCCTCACTGAGAATAGGTCATGCAAAAGCTGAGATGCACATTAAAAGGTCTGTTATATTTCATATTAATAATTTCAAAACATAAAGTAAGACTTTTGCTTGAGTAAATCACACTACGCTGACTCATCAGTTATCACATGGGATGATAGCAATTTCCTACCTACTCCCTCCGGTTCTCAAAAGCAAGTCGTTTTGAGATTGTCTTAAGTCAAACATTTTAAACTTTGACTACAAATAACTTCTTTTGGGTTGAGTTTGAAAATATGAAAGTGATGTAAGTAGATTCATCTCGAAATGTAGTTTCATAAAAGTATATATTAACTATATTTTATAAATATTTTATAGCAAAAAGTTGCAGTCAAAGTTGTTTCTTAAAGACCGTGTCGATGTCCAAAACGACTTGCTTTAGAGAACCGGAGGGAGTACTATGACTGTAGCTCAATACTTGCAGATATCGTAAAAAGGGCAACAGAAGCACAGAAAAAATAGAATACACTGTTATTCTGAGAGGGACACAAGAGAGGAGATGCGTACGGCTAGACAACAAAAAAAATCTGACATGTAGCGGCCCAGAACCCAGTACTACTATTAGGCAATAGAATGGGATCTCACCATTTGTCTTAAACAAACAAGAATAGGTCATACTGGCTCCCTATCAGGTGGTCCTGAATCTAAGACTCACATGGATGTAAGTCAGAGGATCCATATCGATCTGTTTTTATTTTGTGTGCATAAGACACCTACATCAAGCCATACTTGAGTCTCATGCACCAAGGTTGACGTCAACACAGCATCGAACCCATGGTCCAGCAGCACCTATGTAGCTTGAAAGTGATCATCATTGTTAACTCTGTTAGGATATAATCTTAAATTCTAAGCTTGAGCATGCTTCTGTACAAGTAGCAAAGAGGACGAACCGTTTCGATGTCTAACTCATGCTAGATTGACTAAACAAAATGGGTTGCCAAATCACACAACTTTCTGATGGTCAGGTAGTCAGGACTATATGCTTAAAACAGATTGGTAATTTAGAAAGCCGTTACTTTTCAGTTTTGAAGCCAAAGAACCAAAACAAGGCATATTTCATAGTCCAAATTGTAGAACTATTGTTCCCAATATCAGCCATTTTTCATTTTGTAATCAGCAATCAACAACACAGCTACAAAATGAAATGCAGAAAGTAGACAGAAGTAAGAGGCAACATACAATCTTGATATCTGAACTTCATGTATCTTGATTCTGATGAAGTGATGATATAAAGAACAATGCTACGGAGGTGCAGGCACTTCTCAATTAGAGACCAAACTTGTCCTTCAAAGGCTAAAACCACTTTTAAGTCCCATAATCCACAAGTGGCTAGTCCAGACAGTTAGCATTATGCCCTTTAGAACAGACTAAAAGGAGTAAACGAAAAAAAACTCGACCGGGGGGGTTAAGACTGCCCCCGCAGCATTTCAAATAAGAAAAAGGACCTTTTCACCCGGCCGAGAAAACCCCCGCCCCACCCTTACACGGTGGCTTTCCGTCGCCTAAGTGAGAATTGGGCGGTGCCCCCCGCTTTGGTTATGGGACGGGCGAGGGGATTTTTTTAACCTCAGCCTGAAATTCGCTCCCACGGCGGGGAGTCGAACTCAGGACCTGAGGAGTGCCGCCGGGTCACCTAACCGTTTGAGCTAGGCGCCCTTTGGCTAAAAGGAGTAAACAACTGCAGCCTCAAATATAAAGCTTCTTCGTTCAATCACATGTTGAGTCACCACTGTGCAAGCACGTCAAGAGAAAGTTAATAAAATGGACCGCACATGGATACTCAAGATCCTCATCGATCTAGTGTTGTTTAAGTTGCCACTGCTTGTGCTTGAGCTGGAAAACTCAGGCTTGAAAAATAGCCAGTTACCATCAGGGCTATGAACCATCAGATGTAATTTGGTGCATGTCTAGAATGTTAAATCAACAGACATCATGATGAAGGACTTAGCAAATTTGGTGCAGAAAGGAGCAATCAAATAGATGCTACCATTTTAGACAAATTCCACAGCATCAAGTATATTTGATCCGTACAAAGATGTGAGCCACCTCCATTCACAAACTCATGTATTTCTCCATCCACTTCAATCACACTCCGCCCAATATCCTTCCTCATCCCCTCATCACTCATCAGTTTCCTAATCCTCAAAACATCACCCCACATTCCTTCATCAGCATAGATATTTGACAGAAGAACATAGACTCCAGAATCATCAGCTCCAAGATTTGCAAGACGTTCCACTGATAACTCAGCCAGCTCAACACAACTATGGCTTCGGCAGGCAGCAAGAAGAGATCCCCACAATTCCGGAGTCGGTTCCATGGGCATTGTTTCTATAGCATGCCTGGCCTGATCCAAATGTCCGGCACGGCCAAGTAGATCAACCAATGCACCATAATGTTCTACCTTGGGATCTATCCCAAAATCCTTTTTCATTCGGTGAAATATTTCTAAACCCTCTGAGACCAACCCAGCATGTGTGCAAGCAGTCAGAATGGCAAGTACACTAAGATCATCCACTGCAACCCTTTCTGCCTCCATTCGACGGAACATCATGACAGCATCCAGACCATAACTATGAGTTCCAAGTCCAACAATCATCACATTCCAAGTGACCACACTCCTCTCAGCCATGCTTTCAAAGATCAACATGGCAATATCCAAGCGCCCACATTTCATGTACATGTCCATCAAAGCTGTCTGCACCACAACATCAGACAGCACCTTCTTCTCCAAGTAAGAGTGAAGCCATCTTCCTTGCTCCAAAGCGCCCAGCTGAGCACAAGCACTGATAGCCCCCACGGCAGCGACCGTATCAGGCCTTACGCCACACCGTAGCATACTCTGAAAATACTCCAAAGCCTCCTTCGCCTCCCCACACCTGACATGCCCATCAATGACAATACTCCACGATATCACATTCCGCTCTGGCATTTCCTCAAACAGTGATCTCGCCTCATCCATCCTTCCGTGCCTGGCATAACCATCGATCATCGAGTTCCAGCACACTAAATCCCTCTCGGGCATTTGATCAAACAACTCGCGCGCACGGTCCACACCAGCACCACCTTGCTTCCCATGCCCGTCGATCAAGGTCCCCCAGGAGAACGCGTCTCTCTGTGGCATTTCGTCGAACAGCTCCTGCGCGAGCCCCATCTCCCCGCACCCGACGTACCCAGCCACCATGGAGTTCCACGAGACGAGATCCCGCGAGACGCCACCTGCCTCGTCGAACACCTTCCTGCCCGAGCGGCAGTCCAGGATCCTACAGTAGAAGCTGATAAGCGCGTTCACCGTGAAGAGGTCCGCGCCCAGGCCCCTCCTCACGGCCTCGGCATGAACCAGGAGTCCGGCCCTGCAGCCAGGCGCGCAGCCGCAGGCCTTGAGGACAGCGGGGAACGTGTAGGCGTCGGGCCGCACGCCGCAACGGCGCATCCGCGCGAAGTAGAGCAGCGCGGCTCGGGGGCGCGCGGGGGCGTGGAGGCGGATGGCGGTGTTCCAGGGGAATGGGTCGCGGGGCGCGGGCTCCGGGAGGCGCACGAAGACGGCGTCCGCGAGCGCGGCGGCGCCGGGGACGGACGCGAGGGCGAGGAGGAGGAGGTTGGAGAGGCGCAGCGGGGAGGCTGCGAGGTGGCCCGAGGTGAGGAGGAGGGCGTGGCACTGGAGCGCGTGGGAGGCGGACCTGCACGCGCGGAGGCGGGAGAGGAGCGTCGGCAGGGCGACGACGGGACAGGGAGGCCGCATCGATCGGGCAGAAAAAAATGCAAAAATGACACAACGAAAGATTGACTGTCGATTAAGGGCCTGTTCGGCAGGACTGAAAAATACTATTCCGGCTGATTGTTGTGAGAGAAAAATACTATTCTGGTAGGACGTGAACAGTGATTCTGTGAGAGGAAAAATAAGCCAGCCGACTGGAAACAAGCCAGCCGAACACGCCCTAAGATGACACCCGGGCTGGATAATAAATGGGTCCTATGAACACTGAGTCCAGTGTCAAATCAGCTGTTTGTTTAGGCTTGTTTGGTTATAACTGACTGATTTAATGTGAGAGAAAAATACTATTCGTTGGCCGATAAGTTAAGCCAAACACGACGCAGCGAAACGCCCATCGTTTCAAATCGCCCTTTCAGGCAAGGCCGCTTCAAACTCTGACAAAGCCAAGTGTAGCTGCGTACGGAGAGCAAGAGACGATGAGTGAATTTCAGCCTTCCAGGGCCGAGGGATTCTTTAGTGGGCTGGCTATTGATGGGCCTTAGCGAGCCCATTTCCCTGTGGCTGTGCCTGTGCGGAGCGCAACTCATTTTAGTCCCACCTCCAACACAATACAGCCTCTATCAGAGTATCAAGATCTATTTTAGATCTCAAGAGAGGTAGCCTCTATCAAAGTATCAAGATCTATATTTTAGATCTCAGAGGCATAATCTAAATCTGAGTATCCTCTCTTCTGGAGATTTATTTGTAGAAAGAATTGCCTTGTGGGTCTTTTGTTGGAAAAAACCAAAATTAAGTATTGAACTCTTTGCCTGTAGCGTTATCAAAGGACGAATGTGTCTTGTATTTGGAGTCGTGGTTGTTGAAGACAGTCTAGGGGTATGCAAATGAATGCTAAAAAACAGTATGCAAAAATAGGTTAAGGAATGTCTGGCTAAGAGGTATGCATATGAACAAGGAAAATGCTTTAAAATTTAAAAATCAGTATGCGCGAAAGGAACTGTTTCTCATCACTGGAAGGGTACGTTCTCTCACCTACATAAACACGAATTTTTTACAGAATCCTACAGAAGGACCAATATCCAGTGAGACGTCTACATCATTTTTTAGTCCCTTTTCTGATCTGCTTTTTTACATAAATGGATTCCTAAACTTATCCTATTTCATGGTGTTTTAAAGCATTTCTTAGTTATATATATTGCTCTTTACAGTGTTTTGTCTATTACTCCCTCCGTTTCGAATTATAAGTCCCTTTTGACTTTTTTGGTTCATTTATTTTGTTATATATCTAGATATAATATTATATCTAGATGCATAGTAAAATAGATGTAAAAAAATCAAAGCGACTTATAATTTAGAACGGGGGAATATTAATTTTAACTTTATTCATAGAATAATGGTATAAGCTCTACTTCTTATTTTGAATACTTGTAATGTGTCTTAATCACAAATGGTAGGACAGGTTCGGTTTTTTTTTACAACAAACATATCTTCATTTCAACAGCATAGAGCTGTTATCAGTGATACAGAGTTGTATGTTGCTGATTACAGTGCTTTCACTAAAGGGCACAGGAATGACAGGAGTAATGGAAACAGGGGAAGTTTGTGAGTGTACAGCTACAGATGCTTGCTTTGCTGCTTAGAAAATTTTAATCCAATAATATTCTGATTTATGCATACATACAAGAAGAAAAATTTCGTACGTGGAGATACCCGAGAACGGTTCGGGTGAATGTCACCCACCTCAGTTACACAGAGAAACGATGAAGGGATCGGTTGATCGGAGAAGGCGACACTCGGAACGGAAAATAGAAATACCTAGCTACACACACGGCGCCTTCGGCGATGCGTGCATGCCGCTGAGGCAGACTCGCAGCGGCAGGGGCGGACGACGCGCGCGCACACGACGGCTTGGCTCCTGCCTCCCCGCACGCGGCAAGCCGGCACGGCAATGGCGCTCCTGACCATCCCTCCCCGCGGCCGCCTCGCCCTCCTCCCGCTCCTCCTCTCCATCGTCCTCCTCGCGCGCCCCGCCGCCGGCGCCGGCACCGGCTCGGAGTTCGACGACGGCACCTCGCCCAAGTTCCCCGGCTGCGATAACACGCTCCAGAAGGTGAAAGTGACGTACTGGGTGGACGGCGACGAGCGGAGCAGCCTGACGGGGATCAGCGCGAGGTTCGGCGCGGTCCTGCCGGACGCGGCGTCGGACGACCAGAAGCAGCGGGCCGTCGTGCCCAGCCCCAAGACCGGCTGCGCCAAGTCGTCCGCGCAGCTCGCCGGCTCCGTCGCCGTGGCGGTGCGCGGGGAGTGCACGTTCATCGAGAAGGCTAAGGCGGCCGAGGCCGGTGGCGCCGTGGCGCTGCTCCTCGTCAACGACGAGGACGACCTGCAGAGGATGGTCTGCTCCGACAAGGACCCACCTCCCAACATCGGCATCCCCGTCGTCATGGTGGCCAAGTCCGCCGGCGACAAGGTCCAGTCGGCCATCGGGGACGGGGCCAAGGGTGAGAAAAGATAGCTACGCGTTCCCAGTACCGCCACGCTCTCATGTGCCACGTACGTACCCATTTTCATCCATCTATGATTCGGTTCTCTTGCACGCAGTCGACATTCTCATGTACGCGCCACTGAAACCGTCCTTCGATGGCGCCATACCTTTCCTATGGATGATGGCCGTCGGCACGGTGGCCTGCGCCTCCGTGTGGACCGTCGCCGTCGTCGGAGAAGAGGTACGTAGCACACACGCACAAAAGAAACCGAACGTCGATCGGGCAGAGTTGCTGCAGAACCTTGCAAAGAGTATTGAAATGTCCATGTGGCAACGACTGCCTTTCTTGTTCCAGCCTACCAAGCAGGGCGATGTTTCCCTGGGTGGGGAGGAGAACCCGGACGCCGAGGTCGTGGAGCTGCAAACCAAGACGGCGCTCGTGTTCATCATCACGTCCTCGCTTGTCCTGCTCTTCCTCTTCTTCTTCAACTCCAGCTGGTCCGCCTGGCTCCTGGTTTTCCTCTTCTGCCTCGGGGGTGTCCAGGTACATACCCAATAATTCCAATGAACTTTGCTGGTTCACATGATCGACGCAGCTAATGCACGAAGTGCAGTCACCTCATCTGTAACTTGTCATCATCTACTTGCAGGGAATGGAATACGTGGCATCATCTCTGATTGTAAGGTGTGCATATACTCGTGTGCTACTTATTCAGTGCTTGTTTGCATACGCCTAGCTAGTTCTTGAAAAACTGCTGCGTGCAGACTCTGCCAGCGGTGTCGCGAGGCGAAAGCGAAGCTTCCTGCTCTAGGGAACGTGAAGGTGGTCACGCTAGTCATCTTGCCGCTAGCCTTCATCTTCGCCTTGGCCTGGGCCACACACCAGAACTCACCGCTTGCTTGGGTTGGTCAGAACCTCATGGTACGTAAGATCCATGGGCCTGTGTCCGTGGAGCCCAATGTGCTCTCCTCATCTCATTATTCACAGCTACTTTCCTGCTTGCTCCCATCCTTCATCAGTGACTGTGCTCACTGACACGGTTCTTCTTCATCCAGGGCATCTGCATGATGATTCTAGTATTGCAAGTGGTGCATATGCCAAACATAAAAGTACGAGCGGTTATATATGGACTGACATGCTATGGTTCAACAAGTTCTTCAAGATGACATATTTTCTTCATCTGCTTTAGTCAACTGGAGTGGAGCACATCTCTGACGAGCACTAGATCATTATTTTCAGGTTGCGACGGCGCTCCTTGTCGCGGCTTTTTTCTACGACATATTCTGGGTCTTCATATCACCCCTTATATTCAAGAAAAGCGTCATGATCACAGTGAGTTTCAAATCACAGATGGCTGCTAACTGAACATTTTCATGTTGTGAGCTGAGCATAGCCGAAATGAAATCTCGCAAAATTCAGGTTGCTCGTGGCAGTGATGATGGGCCGAGCCTTCCCATGGTACTGAAGATGCCAAAGGAGTTCGATTCGTGGAATGGGTATGACATGATTGGATTCGGGGACATTCTCTTCCCAGGACTGCTTGTTGCTTTCAGTTTCAGGTGAATACCTGAAGTGGACTCTGATCTCATCCACAATTCAGCTATAAGAACAAAATCGTTTCTTCGCCTGAAACTTACCAGCTGCAACTGAACTGTAGATTTGACAGAACACACGGCAAAGACTTGACAGACGGCTATTTCCTCTGCCTAATGATTGGTTATGCCTTCGGTATGTAGCAGTCAGTCCATCTCTGAATCTAAGTTTCAGAGAAGAACAATACTGCTTACATTAACAATGTCATGCCTTTCTGGTTTTTATATAATCGGCAGCTCCCTGCCTGATTCTTTTTCTAAAAAACCAATGTCATGCCAATGCAGGCTTGTCATGCACATATGTTGGCTTGTACCTAATGAACAGTGGCCAGCCAGCTCTGCTCTACCTTGTTCCTTCAACACTAGGTACCATAGCAGCAGAAATTTTGATTCCTTTTTACACATTCTGGGGGGTAATATATCAGAGTTCTTATAGCTATTGTTGCGTCGAATTTGTGCAGGAGTTATCGTCTTGCTTGGAGCGAAGAGGGGGGAGCTCAGTCAGCTCTGGAACGCCAAGGCGTAGCCTGCCTGGGAGGCTCATAAGCTGATATGATGGCATTGGTTGCAGGCTTAAAACGGGCTTTGGTTTAGCTAGACTTGTCACTTGTGCTCATGTATCTGATGGGTTTGGGTGAAATTATGCCAAGCATCAGCATGATCCATGGTTAGGAAATTTCTTTGTTTCAGCACGCAACACACACGAAGGGTGGTTAAATTGTACTAGCCTGCTGCAGTGCACACTGCGAGTCAAAGTTGGTAGCGTGATGTAAATTTGAGCAAAATTAGACGATATTTGTTCATAACATGTTTGATTACAGGCAATGTAAAGTTCCAATAGTCATTCAGAAGCTGTTCCATTTCCTAGACAATTGTCGACATGCTCCCTCCGTTCTAAAATGTATATAGCTTTTTTTTAATCCTAAGTTCAACTTCTCAAATGTGAATAAAGTTTATAGAAAAATGTACCAACATCTACTATGTCAAATTAGTTTTATTAAGTTCATCATAAAATATGTCTTTGGTAGTGTATTTATTTGATATTATAGATGTTACTAATAAAACTCTTATATGATTGGTCAAAGGTAGATAAGTTTAACTTAAAATAAAACTAAAACGATTTATATTTTGGAATACAAGGAGCAAATGCTATAGACCTTCAAAAAGACTAAACTTTGTTTCAAGAGAAAGTTTGGATTCTGGATATGTAGGGGAATACGGACAATTTTTCTGTCTTACCTTGTGAAACTTGATGAACTATTTAACTTTGATTTGGGCAAACATTGTGAGTTTGTAATATTTCATAGTGATTGTGTTTCAATGTATTTTAATCAACTTTTAGTGTAGTTCATCGAAGAACATGGTCACCACATACAGTGGCGGATGCAGGATGGGAACAAAGGGGGCTAAATAATAAAGATTTAGGGCTAGGGCTAAAGATTAATGGTGATTTGAGGCTAAGTAATCGTGGTCTAATGAAGAAATCAGACTCACTGGAGGGTTGTAGCCCCGACAACCCCCCCTTTGGATCCGCCCCTGACCACATAGGGATTAGGGACAACACTACATACATTATATAGAGGGTAAAGTATATTTTCAACCTCTAAATTGCATGCCAATCTCGTTTTTAACTTTGAACTAGTTCCAAATAATGAGCATGACTACAAACAATGCAGCAATAATAATAGAAATAAACTAGTTCTAAATAAATATATATAATTATAAACAGGTAAAAACATTTTTACAAAAGTTACTGTTTTCGTATTTTTTATTTTTATAATAAATTATTTATAAATTTTTAGATAGTAAACCAATTTTTTTTATTTCTATAAAATAGAAAAAAATTACAACTATCGAGAGTAGAGTGAAAATAGGATGGATATTTCCCGATATCATCAGTTTGTAAAGGGGTCTAAACCCAACTTAGATAATCATAATCCATAGATGAATCCGGATATTTAATATCCATACTGTATCCGAATCTGATGGATTTATAATACAAATATAATATAGATATCAATATTCAACGTATCTGACACTATGCGTATTCGACTGTGAATCCCAGAAAGAAACAACTACCTTATTGGTATCCGTAATATCCGTACATATCTGATTCAGTTTCATCCATAATCAAGAGGACCACATTTATCTGGTTTTGCTAGTTGTATAATGTGTCCTTTTCATAGTTCAAAGATTAAAAATCAGACTACTATGCAGGTTGAATATTAAAAAATACACTTTCTTTTTTTACATAATGGAAATAGAAGTTCCGGATTCATCGTTCCTCTAGAGGAAGAATCAAACCAATTATTACAAACTCACACTTAAAATAAAACCAGGGCACTAATCCTAATGTCCAAGGCGATAAGAGAAGCTCCACCCATGAGAAGCAAACAGAAACATGACACTAACTCTAAGAATCTTCATGCATCCGCAATAGAAGTCTTGTGCTCATCCAAGTGCTGTAATTGAGTCTAGAATCGGAGCCAATATGTCCCCCAAAATAGTACCTGCAAAAAAGTTTATTTTTGCCTTTTGTTAAAAACAAAATCATTTCTTGTGAGCTAAATTGCCCGGCACATGTCGATGCTCCTGTCAAAACAAGCAAATTGTGTTTGTGGTGGCCCAGTTTTGACCATGCCCCAAACAGATGAGATACACTTGTTGGAGGGGTACCAAACACCCAATAAACTGCACGCCAGAGAAAATGATCATAATGACAATTAAAGAAAAGATGTTGGATGGTTTCAGATTTATTGAAAAAACAACAAACTTTATTACCATTCCAATTTTGCTAGATTATCCTTTGTTAAAATTACCTCCCTTTTCAGGAAGATTTTGTTTTTTTAGGGTATGTTCATTTGCCATATCTCTTTAGTGACTTTCAAATCATTGGTGACAAGGAACTTATACATAGAATTCACCGAAAAGGAACAAAATTTTTATGTATACCTCAAACAAACCTATCTGACGTATTGTTGAGTGTAACGTGCACAATACTAGCAACTAGGCTATACCATTTTGTTATTTTTGTTCCCACCAAAGCCCTTCTGAAGGACACATTTAGAGGAGCAATTTGCAGAACCTCGACTATCGTTGCCTGCTTTTTGCGCACCACATTGTATAGGTTTGGATATTGGATTTTAAATGCCTGGTGTGAAAGGACCTTGATGTCGCCTAGGAGGGGGGTTGAATAGGCCTGTTTAAAACAAACTCGCAATGGAAGTTAAATTGTAGGTGCGGCACTACTGCTCCAAAGGTGCCGCACTGCGGCACTGCCTCACTAAAAGTGTGGCTCTGCTGCTCATGCAGACAAGCTTGAACTACAATTCAAAAACTGCCCAAGGAAAAGTAGATCGAGCAAATTACTGATGTTCCTAGGATAGTATATAGCCTATTCCACCACCAAGATGTTGGCGGAAGTGCACTAGCAAGTAGATCGCGACCAAACCCTAGAATCATCATAAATACAAGTGTCGGATACCATAAAAAGGGGTACCCTGAGCAAGAACCGAAAAAATTGCTCAGACCTTGTAAATAATGAAACCAAAAAACAACCGCTAGCAAACCCGCCACATCCGAGGCTCGGCTGGACCGCCCGGCCCACCTCGAACAAATATCTGGGCTCGCCCGAAGCGGGCTCGGCCCAGAACCAAACCGCAAGGCCTCGGATGAAGTTTCGATTCTCCGACTCGCCCGAGGCCCCACACCGCAAGGCCTTAGGCAGTTAGGCGAGGTACCGATTCTCCTATTCGCCCGAGGCCCCGCGCCACGAGGCTTCGGACGAGCACTCAGTTACCGACTCGCTCGAGGCCGGCTCGACATCAACCCCATCACCGCCGCCTTGACCGATTTCCCTGACAGGATGTCACATCCAACCGACGCGTCCAACCACTCCCGCAACGTCAGTCGCACGTCGGCGCAATACAGCAGAGTGGCCGACAGGACGGGAGTCACATCGACGCCATGCAGTCCGGGACAGGACGGAGCAGGGGTTACCGGCCGCTGTGCTTGGCACTGTGCCCACGGTTGACACCCGTGCTGCACTGTGCTGCTTAACCCCTGCTCCAAGGATAGCGCGGCGTGAAGAGTCAAGTCCAGGTCCCTGTAGCCTCGGAATCGACGAACAAGACCAACTGCTCCCTCCGAGCCTCGGCTATCCGCTTCCGGGCTCCTGTAGCCTCGGGACTCGCGCCCGCTGAGCCCCCCACGACGGTCCAGCCTCTGCATCGACTGGGCCTCGGCTCCCATGTTGTCAGCACTCTGGGACCGGCACGTCGCCCGTAGAACGCGCCATACCCTGCGTCAGGCTACAGGAGCTCCCACGTCACGCACAAGGCCTAGCTCCTGTAGCCTCGGAATCAGCGTACCCACGCCATCGCATCAACCCAGCCTCGACACTCCGCGCCGGTCAAACATACAGTAACCAGCACGCCTCCAACAGAAGAAGGTGCGCCTGTTGCCACAAGAGCTCCCACGACGCACAGGATCAGGCGTGGTCGGCGCATCGCTCCAGTGCACGAAGGACAAGACCGCTCCACCGACCACACCGCCACAGTGACAAGCTGCAGGGCTCGGACGCGCCGCCTCCGCTCACAAAACGCCACGTAGCAAATGCATGTACCGCCCCTGTGCCTCCCTTCAACTATAAAAGGGAGTAACCAGGGCCGCTTCTGGGGAGGGAGAGACCCAGGCAAGCAACGCGCAACGCTCTGTAACACACACGCTCCCTCACTACAAGAGATCAACATCTCAAGCAACCCACGCCACTCCACGCAGAGACCTGGGACTACCTCCCTCTCTCGCTCAGCTTGTAAGCCCCTACAACAAGCACCTCGGTGCAAGGAATACAAGATCGCTCTCTTAGACTGGACGTAGGGCACCTATTGCCCGAACCAGTATAAACCTTGTGTCTCTTTGCATCACCATCTAGGATTAGGAACATGCAGTACACTTTCACTAGTTGGTTGAGGACCCCCCGGTCCAAATCACCGACAGTTGGCGCGCAAGGTAGGGGGCTACTGCGTGTCAACTTAGTCATCCCGACAAGTTCCGGATGGCAGACCCCGTGCGACCACTACGTCTTGGCACGGTGATCTGGTTTGGGAGCCTAGAGTTCATGTCTCTAGGATATGAGTACGATATGGTACTCCTCACACCCAGAGCCCCACCGACCGACGATGACATCACGCACCAGTAGCTCAGGCGCAGGCAGCGCTCGGGCCGCCGCTCTCGTCGAGCTCGCCAGGCACGACGCGGGCGGGACCACCCCGACACCGCGCGAGCTCAGGGCGACGCACCGCGCTCCGCTAGTATCTCATACCCGGCTGTTGGTACGGAGTCCCTGGCTGGGGACCTGTCTAGCTTAAGCCTGGGCAAGGGAAAGATGTCGATGGCGCGCAGCAACGCCCCATCATCAAGCACTGCCCCGCCACCTCCTGAGGAGTCGACTCCGGCGGAGCGGAGCCCGGCGATGGCACCATCCCCGTACCCCTTCGGGTTGAGCAATGCCGCCGCCGCCTACGC